GTCACATAGACTATTCATAACCCCATAATAACGTTACTGAAATCTTGCCATTCCATTGTCCATGGGGCGATCAAGGCAAATACAAATTGAATACTTGAGTCATTCATATCTGGCGTTTGTGAGCACAATTTCTAGATGTAATGGCCGTCCACCGGCTCTCAGTCGATGTTGCGCAAGATACGATGACGTCACCAAACATTGACGTATCAAGGAGCATATCTGCTACACAGACAAACTATGCTGTCTGCAGCAGTCGTTTCTATTCATAGGGAATGTTTCACTTTTGAAAGCATTAAAGTAAGCAGATGTGATGAAACAAGAGCACTTATGATTATTGGTATGGGTTTGGTAGAAAATACTGCTAAATACACCGGAATTTCCCTGTTTAATAAATAGGCTCCGCGATATGCTCCTTGGCTGGATAGCGCCATCCTACCTCGCACAATACTGATCTATGATTGCAAATCGTTCGATAATTGACACATACTCCAGTCCAGCTTAACAGACCCATAGCTGAAAGAGGTGGAGGACCCTTCATTCGGCACAGGGACCCCTGATTGAACAGGGTCATTACAATGGCTCACTGTGGACTCCCATCGAAAATCCTTCTACCTCCTATTGTCAGAGGGCCCCGACTAACGCAAGACGGCCTCTGGCACCCATGGCACACGCACGTGCACACGAGTCAGAAGATCATCCCCAGCGCTTCGTCCAAAACAAGGGCCGCTCTGACCCAGAGTCATCGATATGAAACATGTGAGAAGGTCAGCAGACATGCTACTGGTCGATAATGCAGGCACCTTTTCAGCGCCCTTTAAAGTCTGGTAGTCCCATACCACATGTCCGCTGCAGACCGCTGTACTGCAAAGCACGTCGATAAATATATTGCCTGTCACCAGCCGCAGAGCCGCAGTTACCGGGCCGGGTCAACGAATCAGCGCGGTACGTGCTTGAACCCGAACTGGGCCTTCCCAGTTGCTGTAAAATTCGACGGCAAGGGGCTCAGGAGTACCGGTCCTACGGGCCATGTGCATAATAGTGATCGTTTGGAAGCAAAACGTGTTCAGAGATGTCAGTCAACCTGCAGCCTTCTGCTGCGCACATTTCAGCTTTCCAGAAACCATGCAGGCCGCGAAAATGGCGATCTTCTGTGTCCTGAACAAGTTCTTGGTGGGTCCGTTACCATACACGATGGGACAATATCTGATGTGCGAGAGAACAAACGCTGAGACGATGGAAATAATACAGCTCGTGGGGCAACAAAGGACACGTTCTTCACCGGATGTAACATCTACTTAGTGTGTCATTTTAAAATGAAGACATGCAGGATGTGTCAGTTAAAGGGAGTGCTCCGCATTTGCATGCGGTTTTTCACTGGAAGAACTATCCTGAAGATCATTTAGATAAAGCAGCATTAATGGGTTTCTTCGTCGGAGGAAAACCGGGAGAATGGATGTATAAATGCGTTGGTATTTCAGCAAGATGCCCTTATCGAAACAATACCGTTTTGTATTGTTTCGATAGTCGCCTGTTGCCGAAATACCAACTCGTCTAAATCTCAGTTCTCCTGTTTTTCTCCGAGGAATGAGACTATTGCTTCTGTCTTATCTTTGTGAATAATGTCCCTCGCAAATGCACTTAACAGTTGACGTAACTTTGAAGATCATTCGGTGCAATTCACAGCTCTGCCCTTCTTAACACCTAAACCAGTTTCTTTAGTAAACGACCGCAAAGATGTGCAGGATTTTCCGTGCGGACTGTTTCGTGTAGGCTATTTCGAAGTTACCCAAGCATCCATGACGTCATGATACCGTCATTCACAGTCTGTCATCGCAATGGTCTTGCGGCGTTCAAGGTCAATTAAAATGTAATTGTTGAGGTGGTCATATCTCGCGCTCGTGAACACAATTTTCAGGCAATACGCCATCAAATGACTCCCAACCAATGTTGTGCGAACTTCGGAAGATTCTAACATAATTCTGCTTTATTTGGTGTGGGGTGCTTAGGCCAGTTTGGGTCATGCTATGCCTTTTGGAGGACTATTTCAAATAAAACTGAAATACATCACTGAAGAAAAATAACGCTACGAAATTGATAGCTCTTCACAATGCTTGAGGGATATCGGTAGGTTTAAGAAAATTCAACAGGCGATCAAGAAAATGCGGATGGCCATGGCCTGGGAGAACTTCAACGGTAACGCAACCTTGTGGTGCCGGCAATATGCCTCCAGTGCCTTTCGTGGCGGTTGATATTCGCAACATTCAAGTAAAATATGTTTAATTGAATGGAGACGAGCATGCGGATAGCCCAGGGGATGAAGGTGCTACAAATACAAATAACCATGCGTGAGCTTTATGTGCCCAATTCGAAGCCATGCCAATGCCAATGTCAAGGTGTAATACATGGTTTGTTGTCATGAAGCTGGATCACATTGTTTTCCGTCCAATGTTGTTGGCCAAATTGTTTTGCCAGATTGTGAAAGGCTATTTTTATAATAGCAAGGTCAACAGAGACGGGTGTGATGCGAAGGTGTCAATGATTTATTGGCCAGTTGGTCCGTCTGCTCATTTCCTATGATACTCCGATGACCTGGAACCCACAAAAATTTAATGCCTTGTGTGCATAGCGAAATATATAGGCTTGTAACCTAACTTAAATTACGTTTTGAGACACAAAATACGAGAAGCTGTTCATTGTTCCTAATCATTACGGAAATAAGACTTGCAATTAAATGACTTAAGAATAGCGCCATAATGGAGTATGTGGACACAAGTAACCAGCTTAAACTCACAGATGACTGCAAGAAGACTGCAAGAACACCACGAGAAAGGGCCGGTGCGCCAGAGCCTAACGCCATCTCGTTCAGCACGTATTTAGCACCGCCGCGCGCTACCTCTCGGGCTTAAAGAGCTATAAGTGAGTGCTGCCATACAAACTTTCCATGGCACGATGAAACAATGACGTAGTGGGGAACAGACTCACTGATTAGAGAATTGTTGTCGTCTGGTGTAGTCTTTTCCGCTTAAAAGTATACCAATGCTTGTAAATGAGCTTATTTCATCATGTCGGGTGGCTGGTCTCAATATCTTCAAATGTGGAGAATTTCCTTTAATATCCGTGCAACCACTTATTGTAAGTTTGTGCAGTTGTAACCAACATAAGGCACAAAAGTAATGCAAACATTGTTTTATAGATTCTGAGGCATTGACACGAACGCTACTTGGGTCGACGGAATTTTCTGCAGCATTGCAACGTCGCCACGAATCGACGTCACCGTTTGATTAGTACGGAAAGATAACACGTCCAAACCGATAAAAACTGAAGAACGAAAACTGAAGTCGAAACGGGGACTAGATCTTAACGACCCAGCGCGGTGGTGAGGCGAGATTAAAGAGAATATTCCATATTGAGAATTGTTGAATGTGTGATGAAATAAACCTTCTTATAACTATTCGTATACTTCTCAGTGGGAAAGATTACTGTAGGCAGCAGAACTTCGCAATTTAGAAAATGCTCTCAACGCGTCAATGGTTTTGCTGTATCATCCTACCTCGTTTAATATTGATTGCAAGCCAGTTGACGGTCGTTATATCCGGAAATCGTGATCACAAACACCAATATAAAGACTGAACGACTATATTTTTACTGCCTTAATCGACACACGGCCAATGTAATATCAGTATATGAATGCCGTTATTATGGCGGCATAGATGCTCAGGTGACCTTAAAATACTCTGCACGAAAGAGTCTGCACATATTCGCGGGCGTGTACCTCAGAAACTAGAGTGGTCCATGTCTTTAGGTCATAGGGGAAGGGCTGTAAACTGCACTGAATAATTTTCAAAATGATTTGTTCTGTTCAAAACCCCATACAAATGTGGAGTACTTATTTCAGCAGATTTGAACAAAGGGGAAAAATCACAGTCGGATCGGCAAAGGGTTGATGATGGTGGTTGATGGTTGATGTGTGTAGGCAGTCACATGCCCCCATACATAAACGACGGATCCACCCGGTTCGAGATGTGTATAGGAATTCATGCGATACCTTAGCAGCGAGGGCAGACGAAACGTGCAACCAAGAGCATAGGTGTATGCGCGGACTGCTGCTCACAAATGGGTCTCAACACTGTCTGACCTATAACTACGGCGATCATCAATCGGAAAGAGGCAAATGTCACTCTGCTCGAAACCGATCGGGAACGCATGGCGCTGTGGCTTAATCCCAGACGACTCGTTGCGACCGCTATCCTCCCAAAGTTGTTTTGCAACGCATTATTGACAATTGCCGAAACAGTAAACACTGCAAATTCATTGGTTTCGTCGACCGCGTTTGTTCCACCCCGCCGGTCATATTCATATTTGGTAGTTTTTAAACAGTATCCTCCGTGAATTATAACCAAAATTTCACGCCCGTGCAGTGCGTGGACCGTCAGTGCCTGTGCAATAATAAGGAAACTGAAGACCGGAGGTGTCTGTCTGTGCGAGCCCACGTTTTGACACTGTCTGTATGGTAGCGGTCAACCCTCACATCCGCGCTGGCCCCACACACGTTGCCCCACTTTGTTTAGCAAAACTAATGTCAGGCTCATATTTCTCAGCCTCGAATGCAGACCACCATAAATTTGTCAGCATGTTCAACAGATCAATTATAACAAAACCCATTAAGATGCCGCGCTCGAGAAGAACAAAAATACATCGGAGATTAATTATCTGAAACCCGCGACGAGAGGTATGTGGACTATTGACAGAATGTTTGCGCTGCTTCGGATAAAGACGCATCTTACACTTAGCTACGTCCAGCATCCATTCTACCTTTATTGGAAATTCAGTGACACAGTGCTCGGTCAGTACTAGATACCAGCATTCTGATCTTGTGTCTGAAGATGAGCTCAACTATCTTTTCCTCCCTCGTGCTGAAGCCCAAACCTGTTGTGGTGGTGACTCGGGTCGATCCCTTCTGAAGCCTAAAAAAGCACACGCCACAGCATACGCATTCTCATTTATAGAAACATCAATAACATTCATCTCGCATTGTCATCTAAGGGGTTCGGTCGACTGGACCTTCACCCTGACGCAGTGATGGCACTCTCCCTCAGTCCCCACATAAAGCCTCGTGTTCAGGCCCTCCCGATGTCAGTGGCTGACATCGCGTCACTCATGCCATCGATCGTTCGCAGTTCTGATGGTCAGTCGATCTTGGCGCAATGCTCTGACAGTCAAACGAGAGCTGACAACACATTCAATAAGACGGCGACGCACTGCTGAGGTTTTCCTTCTGTGGGAACGACGACCGTCGGGTGGCGACGACCATCGAGACCGGTAAGACAGATGGGACGCGTGAATGCAGGAACATCGCAACCTCGCGTGGATTGAACGCCATAGCCACGTCTCCAACATCATGCATACTTCCCCTCAGCCGCTTTGACGCCCAGAGCCGGACCAGGACGAGGTAAGCCACGTCTTGTTCCGTGATTTGATGGTTCAAAAGCACTGGAGAGCGCACGTGAGGTCCGCGACACATACCGGGGAACAGCGGGTACACATGGTCACCAACGTTCAGGCAGAAAGCGTTCCTGTAAGAAATACGTCTGACGAAAACCGGGGAGACGATACGCATTTGGCCTCACCGCCGTGACCTCACAATGCCGATCGCCCCCTGGCTGGCACCCCAATCCGCCTCTTGAAGGCCTCTCCCCCAGTGCCTAGTGCTGACAAAAACTAATCTTCCTGGAAGCACGAGGACCCCCCATATCGGCTCGATGAGTGGAGCACCATTTAGCAGCGTTCGATCGGAAGGTCAAGGACACTACAAGACATATTGCTTGAATCTCAGCCGAGTCCTGCGTGATCAAGGAGAGGAGATCGATTTCCACGCTGACGAACTGCCAGCGACGCTGAACAGACGGCTAACGCTGATCTGTCACCGTTGTTCGCGATTGCAAGCATTCGTTCAGAACTCTTGCGGCGCCAACGATGATTCTGTCCACGCGGCCAACCACAAATTCATGACCACAGCGGAAGTGAATGCAGCAGCGCAGATGAGCCTCAGGCACCCGGCTGGGGTCGCGAAGACTTTCGTTATCTCGAGCCGGCACCTCACCATTCATTTTGATACTGTACGAGAAAACCAAAGAGGCTTTCCGTTTACCAGCCGGGTGGCACTGGATCCTTGCTATGAAAGTGGTCACCAAACACGGGCGGTTGTAAGATTTTCAGAGACACTTGACGAATGACACGAGGCATACAACTACATCGGGCCGCAGACATCCTTCGAACTTCAACACAATATCCAGAAGTGCTGCCGCCACAGCAACACGCCAGTACTAGCCATGGGCCTCATCATGGGCCTGACACCATCGGAATGCCAGCGCCAGAGTCTTTGGAAGCAGATTTCCATGTGACTGTAGATCTCTTGAGTGTAAATAATGCTCAGGAACGCATCCAGGGAGGGAAGGGCGTCTCAAGGGAAACACGTCTGTCAGTGTGAGGCTCTCGGTTGTCCAAAAATCCACTGGTGCGATTCAGTGTCGTCCAGGTGACCCACTCTCCATGTTTGCTAGAACCGTGGCTCGCAGGAACATCTTCAGCAAAGTCAGAAGATTGCAGCAATCGGAGGTTCCCAACAATCTGCCGCTCCCATTCGCCCCAGATCACCGCCATGGAAATGGTGTTCGGAACGGCGCCGCTCGCGCGATCGGGCTCACTGCGAGGCACGCTGTGCTCAGCACGTAATCGGTACCTCTTGCTCCGCACTCCGTGGCGCTAACCAAAACCGCCTCTTTGCTGGGCCAGCTGCTTCTCAGAGCACAAAACTCGCGCCAGCCTGGTCCTGGTGGCGCGGTCCACGGTCTTCAGAACGAACCTCTCCGCAAGCCGAAGCAGGAGAAGAATGTGTAGAAGACGCCGCGCAGTCGACGCTCCCAGTTGGGCCTTGGGCGGCGCTGTCCGCTCAGCGGATGTGCCGCAGGATGTGTCGCCGGATGCACCTCCGTTGCGGAGAAAGCCACCTGCGGACCGAAACCGAGACGCGTCGTCGGTAAGGGCACGCACGAAACGGCTGGAGCGGTCAGTTTAAATTGTTTAGAGGGACGGAAAGCAATGATTTTTAGCAAACAAGATGTCCGGGTTATATTAAACTAAACAAATGTTGCATGTTCATCCGCTGATGTTCTAGGTCGGAACATCCATGATGCGGTGCGATCTCTTAATGAATGCAGGGTATCATCATTGATTTTCGACCATTGTCCTCGGCTGCTGTTGCATTACACATTAGCAGCTATTTTTTCCCGCCCCAGCCGATTGCGTTGCATTCCTGGGGAAGGCTTCTTGCCAGCATGTGAAACACACTCAACACGACTTCATTTAGGACTTCGTGCTGGCAGGACACTAACCATAATGGTATTTACAATGGTCGTGTGGAACAGGCCTAAACTAAGCGTCGTGAAAGCGTTCAGAGAGCATTACTGAATTTTTAGCACCCAGTGCCTACATAAAATTAATGCAGCTAAGTCACAAGACACAAAAAACGCTCAACATACACCACAGAAAGTGTAATGTACCACAGTCTAAGAGACAGAAGGTAGAGGTGGACACCTGTAGATACCTTCGCATGGAGGAAACCGGGATAGTGCAAGAGCTAGGCAGGAGGCCAAGGTTAGAAAACCAGAAAAGTGGCTTAGAAAGGCCGCCAGGCAACTGCATTCAGCATAGCATTCAATATAACTCCTACTTTTCCTCAGCTGAAATCAGGGAGTTACGACCAGCTTGCTAAAGCTGGTCGTACTGAGCCAAAACGGATATTTTTGTTCGTTCACTAGGACCACTTGTCTGCAGGTTACCACTGCGGTTTGGGAGGTGATAACGTTTTTTTTCATTACTGTACATGGCACATCTCGAAGCTGTTCAAAACGTCGTTGGCGCAGGGAGCGTGCTTTATCATGTGCCACGCCAGGCCCGGCTATTGGTATCGGCGGCTCCTGTGTGGCCGCTGTTGACCACCCTGGATGCGCCGGGTGTCCGACACACGCGATCAATGTGGGCTGGTCTTTACAAGCGTCTACTCTATCGATTTCTCACGGTGACGCGCTGACCAACATTCCTGGCCCGGGTCTCACTCCGCCTCAGCTCACGAGCCCACGGATCCGCGTCATCAAAATGCCACACCCTGGTCCGCATGACATAATGGTTCCTTGGCCCGCGTCGCCGGAATGGCCAGCCCTGACCTGTCCGTACTGCGTCTCAGTTACTGGATCGGAATAACACCGCCACTCGCTCAACTCTCCACGCCGCGTCTTGTTGACCGGTTCAATCAGACCTGTGTGCAACAAGCCGCGACGTACTCGCCTTCCTATTTACCTCATACCCGTGGCCTTCACCTTTGGCCAGCACGCATGACACTATATTTCCTTCGAACTCCAACCCAACTCTGGGTCCCAAGTCATGCACTTCACAGTCTGGTCTCCTCGGAACTTATCCGTCCGTGACTGCCCTTCCGCGAGCTACGCTATCCCGACTAAGGTTTCTAACGTTGTCCCCTCACTTCTCTCCCGAACTGTATCTACCTCAAGCAGGATTTCCCCTCCTGTCTGGATCTCCTGGCGGTCTTTCCTCGCTTGTCTACGGACCTTACCCTGCTGGCTGAGGCTCTTGACGGCCTCCTCTCACCCGTCTGTGGATCTCACCCTACTGATTGGGCCTCTTGAGGACCTCCCTCACCTGTCCGCGGGTCTTGCCCTCCTGGCTGAGTCTCCTGACGGCCTCCTCGCGCGCCTTACGCAGGACATCCTGCACCAGACGGTTGGCCACGGCTAGCAGGCCGGGGTCGTTACGCAGTTTGGCACGCTCCAGCTCCAGAGAAAGGTCGTCCGGGCTCGGCGACCCACTGCCTGAAACGCCGCGGGTGAGGTCAGACAATGCTTTATGGCTTGGCATTTGTTTGCTATGAGAAGCTGGCATAAGCCACAGAATGCCATCAGTTGCTTCTAAAGGACAATTTGAGGTCGCCAGCGGCCAATCCGTGGCCGTAATACCAATGAACTTCGATGACCTCGCACGTCCGATGTTCTTGTGTGGCCATGTTGTTCGCATGGCAGTTAAGTACACTAACCATAATTAGGGCGGCTTTACAGACTTCACTTGACGTGATCTTGACCTTGAACGACCTTTATAATGCTTGCATGGACATCAGTGATTTGCCTTCACAATTTTCTGTGAGCTGGACTGGCAAAATTTCGCAGATTTTGAAAACTTCATCCGATATGACCTTGACATGAAACGAGCTTTCGGCATGTTACAATAGCTGATCACTGCTCGACATATAGCAACTTTATACACTTTCAACTATTGGCCAAAATAGCCAGTGCACAAGGAGGTAAAAACGTGCCATGGAGCACTGCCCTGTCACATTTCCGACGTTCCAAGCTTTGGAAACTACGTCACAGTTGGATGACTCGCAATGTCGTGGGCTCAAAAATTTCAGGTCACGTGTCTAACAGTTCTGAGAATAAGCTTAGCAAAATTTTACGCTACGTCGGAAGATTCGAGAAAAACGTACGAAAAATTTGAGGGGATTGCCTTTGTGCTGAACCATCCGTAGACCAACATGTTACCAGATAAAATGTTTCATGGTATGAGGAAAATCAAGTAAAATATAAACTCTTCAGCACAGGTGTTCATAGTTCGAAAGGCTAGCGGCTGCTTTGGATGGACTCCTGGATGAATCAGCTTCTGGACGAGCCTGTAACCGAAACTTAATATGTGGTCGAGTCAATTTGACATCTCAAAGGTTTTCCCTAACAACCTCCGAACAGCGCGACATAACCGCACCGAACTTTATTCACTTGTAGGCAATTGAAAAACCGGTATTTTGGTATACACAATTGCGTGCCTTGTAAAGTATCTGACTTGGGTGTACTTTCTTACTCAGTTTGAGGGGAAGGAGCTTCAGGCCCACCCGTAATTTGGGCGCCCCCCCCCCCCCCCCACCTTGGGCTCCAGCCCCTCCCCAACTTTGAGGAAAAGGTGAAAAAGACTGAAAATGACCTCGGCCAACCTTTTACTTTAGGAAACATGCTGCCAGAATAGTACATAGTGCCCATTGCAAGCTCAAAAATCAAGTAAATCATGTAGGTTTTTGGGTAATTTTTACATTTGGGAGGTCGAACCAGGCCGCTGACCTAACACAAAAACTGGTACCATTTGCTTATAAAAGATATCTAGGTAGAAGCTGGTTGCGTTTCGGATAACGATGTGAGATTTGACTTTGTTTTGCTATGTTCGACTTGAAGATCTCAGCCTAGTGATCTAAGAATATGACACAAGTGAGTTCACTTAGACCTCCACTTTCCCTATGAATTTGGTGTCTCTAGCTCTATTGGGTTTTGATATATCAGGGGGTCGTATTGCTCCCCCCCCCTCCCCTCCACCCGAGTGCGTGACACTGGACCAGTCACCCAGAGGCATTAATGTCTGCAAGCTTGCTGATGGGATTTCCAACTTCCTCACGCGATCCCATGCTTTCTCACGCAATGCTGTTCAACACTGAACGAGTAAGCCACAAAGCGCAAAGGTCAGCATGCAACAGGCTAGCATCCCGTTCGACAGCATAGCATCGCTTTGCACATGAACGTGAGGTGGTCTCAGCCGCCGGAGAGCTGTTAACTTTCCAAATAACTATACCCATTTGAGAAAAAAAAATTGACAGATCAGCGTGACGACATCAACAGAATCATGGCATGATATCCTCCACAACTGCAAACTGCTCATACTGCGAATCATAGCATGCTATCCCCCACAACTGCAAACTCCTCATGGCGCGAATAATGACATGATATCCCACACAAGTGCAAACTCCTCATACCGCAAATCATGACGTGATATCCTACACCACTGCAAACTCCTCATACTGCGAATAAAGGCGTGATATCCTCGACAACTGCAAACTCCTCATACTGATCTGGGGCATCACTGAATGCTTTGCTCGACGTTGTTGGCTGCGCCTGATGAATGACCGACAACCTGAATATTCGGTACCATTTAAAAATGTGACCGGTCAAAAAGTGTAAGAAAAGCACCGGCAGTGCACGTTGCTCCGCACTGGTCCATTTTCATACTGACGAAGAGCCATGTTTGTCTTGAGAGTTTTCTGCCAAAGTCACCCGAGATATTTTATGTCTGTAATGGGAAAAGTTTGTTTTAAAACTGCGGACGCACGACATCCTGTATTCAAAGCTAGTTATGACTCACTTCCTCAATAGGGCTTCATGAGACCCATAAATCCAAAACTTTATTCCAGATCACGACCATGAAAATGACATCACTAACCACAGTCGCACGAGTTCCGAAACGTGGTATCAAACCAACTAGATCGATGTCGTCTTTCCAGAACTCAGACCCGACAAGGGGTTACACAAAATAACAGCTTGGATCGACCTGGCCAGTCCTACTGATCGAACTGACTACTCCTGCTGATCAGCCTGGCCTCTCCTGCCGATCGACCTGACCGGTCCTGCTGATCGTACCGAATACTTCTGCTGATCAGCCTGACCCCTCCTGCTGATCAACCTGACCGGTCCTTCTGATCAACCTGACCACTCCTGCTGATAAACCTAACCCCTCCTGCTGATCGACCTGACCGGTCCTGCTGATAGACCTGACTCCTCCTGCTGATCGATCTGACCAGATCGATCCGGTAACGGCTGTGATGCCTGCTGAGCGGCTGGTGAATGGACCTAACAGGCCGCGCGGACGCGGCCAGGTCGCACCTGTCGCGATGCCCGGACATTGCAGCGAGCTCGCCTCCGGGAACCCAGGATTCAAAGAGACAATAGGAAGGAGGAAAAAGCGCTGCAGGCTTTGCTCAGCCAACGGATTTGAAGTGTGAGTCCGGGACAGCCCACCACGTTCGTTGTTTGAATTCCAAGGCTTTCAAATAGATCGATCCAGTAATGGGGAGGCACTAACGCAAAACAGTAAGGTGGACTGGTCCGTCTCCAAAATGGGTCGGTGCATCGGTTTCCGAATGGCTTATCTGTGTATATGTTTATCTCTGTCTAAAATCTGTCTACAAAATCGATGCCCAAGTAAAAGCCTGCTACACAATGTCCAGTCACTAACTGCCCCGCAAAAAGAGGACTTAGGACTTTGTGAATTATTTGGGTGACTAATGCACTTTGTTTTTAGTTGCGAGTTTATGCAGACTTAAATACTCTTGATCATGGTGTGCTTGAACTGATTGTAAGAAGTGCCTAGCTAGAGTTTTGATCAGAAAGGAAATCTAGGCATTTGCAAGTAGGAACTTTGGGTTGTGGCGCGCACAGGGGCGAAACTCAAGCACCATCCAATGCTATCAGCACTCAAAACACCTGCCGGCGGCCGGAGAATTAACAAGCCCGAAGTTTGTGAAAGTACTAAGGCACCAGGACAATTGTTCAAGCAACTGTCTTATCCGTAATAATAATGCCCTGTTTCAATCATCCTGTGAATTTGGTGCACCTCGAATTTCTGTGATTTATCAATCGTATTAGAGATTGCCAGATGACACATGAGCCAATTGCACTCAGGATATCAATCTCGCGAAAACCGGATTGGGTCTCCCGCTCATGAATGACCAGATGTGGAACTTAATAAGCTACATTCTGTCGCACAAGTTAGTTGCACTTACGAGAAACATAATACATATGAATGAGACCGTAGTAATAGCCATTTTCGTCGTAGAATAAACAGAAGAATGGACATACACATACATGAATACATATATACACAAATGTACGTATATATATGCATATATATATATATACACACATATATATGTATATATGTACATATATATGTATACATATATATATATATAAAATACCATATTTCGGTTACATGCCCTGACCGAAAGGAATATCAGAAGGTACTTTTGTTATTCGTTTCGATAAAGAACGAATATCACTACTGATACTCACTACTGATAATCACTATTTGATAAAGACATGTATGTATCCGACATATTAAATCCATCCCTCCATTCTCCTTTTTTCTACGAGGAATAAGGCTATCAACACTGTCCAGGTGCCCAGCCAGAACCTTGGTAAGGGGGGGGGGCAACAGGGCAAACAAAGGGCAAACTCCCCCTATCAGCAAAAGGCCTCCCCAAAAAAACTCGATATGGCCTACTGGATAGTAAAGGCATGTTTTTCGTTGACGTCATATCTATATATATATATATATATATATATATATATCAACACTGTCCAGGTGTATATATATATATATATATATATATATATATATATACATATATAAACTTTTGTCCTTCTATTACTTGAACAGCAGCCAGACACTACCACGAGACGAACTTTGCCTGAGGTTTGTAGTCAATGAACTGAAAAAACCATGCGTTAAGCGACTGTATGAAATAAAGCGCTGGCGCTCTTCGTGTCGCAATGGTCCAAAGGACCATTGCGAACATTCAAATGGGTTAACGATTTGTATTAACATGACCAAGCCATCTTTGTCCGGGAACGTTCGACATTAAGTCAGAACCGATCAATAACACAAATTATATGACGTAGTTTCGTGTATTCGCGCTCGCATATCTTAACAAAAATCTCGACGCCAGGTGTTGCAATCTCCGTAAGCAGCTCGACGTCAATCCTGTGACTAACACCAGGTCGTGGTCAACGGGTGGGCGAAAATGATGACGCAGTTGTAGGAGTATCTTAAAACACTTTAGGACATAACATGGTACATTTAGACATACTACGGGCACATGTTCTGCCTAACGTGATTTTTATAGCTTGTCGCTAATAACGGCTTGGCCTTTATAGTACCGCGAAGTGGTGCTGAAATCTAGTGGTGGAACTGGCACGCTAAAGGTAGAATCCCAATTTCCGTTTTG